TACTGGGTGTGAGCGAAACTAGAGTATGTTCCAATAGTTGCACACTACTAGGAGGAATCGACTCGCTTCGGATAGACTTCATAAGCTAGTCTACGTTCATTACAACTTAAACTTCTGAGAGCGATAAATAAAAAGAAAACTTGAAAACTACGTGCCGATAGATTTGGGCACAATATTTGCCACATACACAATAGAACAATGTGTAGTAGAGGAAGATGAGCCAGTATTGCACAAGAGAGCATTCCTTAAGGCTATTGATGAGGAAGATCATGAATAAAGCTATGAGCAGCATGAAAGAGGAAGAAGTCCGCCAACATATTCACAATTCGTCAAAAATATCGGTCGTGTTGCACATAATGAGGGAGAGTGAGAAGGGGGTATAAGGGAAAATGAGAGAGATAATGATTATGAGGCCACCTTATCCCAACCAAATTATTCACATACTGATTCCCAACAGAAAGAGGGTAGGGATGAGAATGACAGTGTAGGGGAGTATAAAGGATGGACAAGATTTGGGGATTTTGGATTAAGTGCTCGACGAAACACTAACACTTAGGGATTTTAGTATAGTCAGGGACCCAGTAAGTTGGATTATTCGTTCCTCTATTAAGTCAATGAATTGTCACGTGAATTCAATCAATGACACCAGCATGACCAAGATGAAGAGTAATGTCATCTTTTTATTTTATTATTAAGTCGTATTTTACGAATTGTATGCTTTATTGTAGTCCATGTAAGATGCTATACTTCATCCATGATAATTTTATATTTCTGCTTTTGTGTGATGTACATTTAATGGTTAACCGTAATTCATATAGGGAAAGAACATCTCAATATTCATGTATTGATGTAAAAAAATGAAAGATCTTAACGGAATACCCTCATTTCATATTGAATTCCTAAAAAACAACATTTATAATGCATTTTAAACCAGTGGTTTATTCAAATTATAAAATTTAAATAGTGATAATCAAGCATATCTATAAACACTTGACAATATCGAAAATGGACGACCTAGATACTATGGTTGAAGATGAACTGTTTGTAAGACTAGAAATCCCTTATTTTTTTCATATATTTATTCTTATGAATTGTTTTTTCCCTTACAATGCTTTTTATATTTTAATCCAGCTGAATGGTGAGAGATTTATGGCAGTGATTCACCTCACCTAAGGAAGATAACAATCAAGGTGCTCTCCCAGATATGTTTTGCTATGGGGTGTGAACGAAACTAGAGTATGTTCTAATGGTTGTACACTACTAAGAGGAATCGACTAGCTTCGGAGAAACTTCAAAAGCTAATCTACGTTCATTACAACTAAAACCTCTGAGAGTGATAAATAAGAACGAAGCTTGAAGACTATGGATCGATAGACTTGAACACAATATTTGTCATAGACATAATAGAACAATGGGTAGTGGAAGAAGATGAATCAGTGTTGTACAAGAGAGCGTTTCTTGAGGGTATCGGTGAGAAAGATCGTGAAGAAGGTGATGAGTAGAATGAAAGAAGAAGCAGCTTGCCAACATATCCACTATTTGTTGGAGATTTCGGTCGTGTTGCACCTAATGAGGGAGAGTGGGAATGGGATATAAGGAAAAATGAGAGAGATGGTGATTTTGAGGCCTCCCTATCCCAAAAAAATTATTCGCATACTGGGTTCCAATAGCAATAGGGTAGGGACGAACATGACAGCGTAAGTGAGCATGAATGATGGACAAGATTTGAAAATTTTGGATTAGAAACGCAACAAAATACTAACACTCAGCGATTTGGGTATAGTCAGGTGCCCTCTAATTTGGATGATTCGTTCCTAGATCGAGTCAATGAATTGTCACGTGAATTTACTCAACGACACCAGCATGATCAAGATGAAGAATGACATTGTCATTCATTTTTTTATTAGGTCATATTTTACGAATTGTATGCTTTCTTGTAGTCCATGTATGATGATATACTTCATCTATGATAATTTTATGTTTTTCCTTTTGTGTGATGTAAATTTAATGGTTAACAATAATTCATACAGGGAAAGAACATCACAATATTCACATATCGATTCAGAAAAATGAAAGTTCTTAATGGGGTACTCCCATTTCATATTGGATTCCTAAAATACAACATTTATCATGGATTTTAATATTTTTTTTGGATTTTTTTAAGGCTGAATCCGACTGATTTGGCCAATTCCCGATCTAAATCACGTATCTGGATGGATTTTTGGGGTGCCTGATTCGGGGCTCCGATCCTTTTTTTAAACCACAGGTTTCTCCAAATTATAAAATTTAAAGTTCCAGAAATAGTGATAATCAAGCATATCTATAAAAACTTGACAATTTTGAAAATGGACGGCCTAGATAATATGTTAGAAAATGAACTATTTTTAAGACTAGAAATCCCCTTATTTTTTCATATATGTAATCTTATGAATTGTTTTTACTTTTACAATACTTTTTTGCATTTTAATCCAGCAAAATGGTGGGAGATTTATGGTAGTGATGCACCTCAATTAAAGAGGATAGCTATCAAGGTGCTCTCCCAGACATGTTCTGCTACAACGTGTGAGCAAAACTAGATTATGTTCCAATGATTGCACATAATTAGGAAGAATCGACTAGCTTCAGAGAGGCTTCATAAGCTAGTTTACGATCATTACTACTTAAACCTCTGAGAACAACAAATAAGAATGAAGCTTGAGAACTACGAGGCGATAGACTTGGATACAATATTTGTGACAGACACAATGGAACAATGGGTAGTAGAGAAAGATGATCAATAGTAATTCATGCACGGAAAGAACATCTAAATATTCACATATTGATGCAAAAAAAATGAAAGTTCATAATGATCCCCCATTTCATATTGGATTCCTAAAAAACAATATTTATAATGAATTTTAATAATTATTTTGGATTTTTTAATGCGAAATCCGAGCGATTCGGCCAATTCCCAATCTGAATCGCCGATTCACCGATCCAGATGGGTTTTTAGGGTGCACGATTCGGGGCACCAATCCGTTTTTTAAACCACTGGTTTCTCCAAATTATAAAATTTAAAGTTCTAGAAATAGTGATAATCAAGCATATCTTTAAATACTTGACAATATTGAAAATGGATGGTCTAGATAATATATTAGAAGATGAACTATTTTTAAGGCTAGAAATCCCCCCCTTTTTTTATGTGTATAAATCTCGAAGTGAGATGATCAATTTGAGCATTTTTTCAGCATGAGAACAACCTTTTCTAGTGGGTTTTTTAATTGCACCTTATTCGTACTGTATAAAGTTGACACTTTATATAATGTTTTCCAATAAATAATTATACACACTAAAAAACATTGTCTCAGTATTCACCTTTTACAAAGTAATAAAAGTAACTAATTATAAAGTAATAAAGGTAACTAATGCACTACTTCTAATTTCTTTTAGAAACTAAAATAACAATATGTTTAGAAATTGATAATGATTTTTTAATTTTTTTTAAGACACATACCGATTCCGCCAATTCAACTCCCCCATCCACTGGTCAGACACGGGTATGCGCAGGGACCATCTTAGGTCACCAATCTTTGTAACCTTAGTTGTGCTTATACATCCCACTTCACACGCTCTCTCTCCAATTTTTTGTATATATTTTCCTCGATTCTTCTCTCTCTCTACTTCTCTATAATTGTTTATGTTTGCAAAACGGGCAGATCTAATTGGTAACCTTCGGTTTTGGGTGGTTTTGGTGATCAATCGATATTTTAAACTTTACATACAGTACTACTTCAAATTTATATTAGATAGATTAGAATGTTTTATTGGCTAGCTTTTATGATTAAGTTGCACGCGAATCATGGTTCATATCCCAACATGTTTACAATTCGTTTAAGAATTCGAATTCATTTATGTGTTTTTTGTTTTAAGAATTTGAATTCATTTATGTGTTTTTTGTTTTAAGAATTCGAATTCATTTCGTCGTTGAAATTCGTTTATGCATTTTTTGTTTTAAGAATTCGAGTTCATTTTCGAATTCATTTCTGCTTTTTTTGTTTTAAGAATTCGAATTCATTTCGTCGTTGAAATTCATTTCTACGTTTTTTGTTTTAAGAATTCGAATTCATTTCGTCGTTGAGCCCACGGGAATCGAAACAAGCCATTTATTATTAAACCCATTATTTTTTCTTTTAAGAATTCGAATTCATTTCTACGGTTTTTTGTTTTTAAGAATTCGAATTCATTTATGTTGTTTGTTTTAAGAATTCGAATTCATTTCGTCATTGAAATTCATTTTTGCGTTTTTTGTTTTAAGAAGTCGAATTCATTTTGTCGTTGAACCCACGGAATCGAAACAAGTCCTTTTTCTGCGTTTTTTGTTTTAAGAATTCGAATTCATTTTGTCGTTGAGCCCACGGGAATCGAAACAAGTCATTTATTATTAAACCCACTAACCAATACACCATTGTTTTTTCTTTGAAGAATTTGAATTCATTTATTCGTTTTTTGTTTTAAGAATTCGAATTCATTTTGTCGTTGAGCCCACAACAATTGAAACAAGTCCTTTATTATTAAACCCGCTAACTAATACACCATTTACTCTTAGTTGACAAAAAAAAGGGCCTATATTATATATAACTCAAGTTTTTCTTCATTTTCTTTTATAAAAAAGAGTTGGTCAAGTCGATTTTTTTAAACACGACTTTAATATTCTATAAAAAATAAATTTTTTTTGGGTCAATGATACTTTTATTTTTTTCATCTTTTTAAAATTTTTTAAAAATATCCCCAAGCACAAATCGATTCATTAAAATCCATTTTTTTCACTAATTTTTAATTTTATTTGAACGTGTTTTGTTTTAATCACATATTTTATATGATTTTTATATTACAACATATATTTTTTATATTTTTTTTATTTTTTAACACTTTTTGGATCATAGAGGAGATGTTCGATTAAATAGCTTCGAGGCCCACATCCGGTTAAGCGTTCCGGTTGGATTATGCGAAAACCGGTAGCCTGTCATGGTCATAAGCCGATTCCTCACGCCCTTTTCAGTCATCTTTATTTCTTCCTGGCGAAGTCTACTATTTCTACAGTCAGATGGTTCATCTGCTCGCGACTGCTGAACGCTTGAAGAAGCTTATGGTTTTCTCTCTGCTAAAAACCCCTTGTACATTTCTCTAATTACGACAGCGAACATTGTACCGATCGACTCATAAACGCTATTGAAATGCCACGGCAAGGATTGTGAACAATAAAGTGTCTCCTTCTTCTCGTTTTTTTTCCTTTGTTGCAGGGCAGTGAGCAATGGCGGAGTCCGCGAATTCTGGTGCTGGATCTAATATTGAATCTCCTGGTTTTAAATTTGCATTCGACAATGTGAATTTCTCCGATAGGATTTTGAAGTTAGAACTCATGGCTGAGCCCTGTACCAAAGGTGTCATTCTTTCTCCTTTACTGCTCCTTCGGTCTGTTTACATTATTTCTCTCTTTCTTTTTGTTATCTGATAATATTTTTCATGGTTATGATTCTTGAACTTGTCTTTTATCAATCTTATCGTCTGAACTTGCCTTGTATCTTTCTCATTGTCTGCTGTTGCTTTCTTGCGAAATTTTGTTTACTGTTTATGCTTTACATGTTGGTGCTTTCCGTGTTCTGATCGCTGGCTCTAGTATTTGCTAGGTTGCTAGTAGAAGAATTAGGAGAGACCGGGTTTAAATGCATAATAATCAGTGATTTTCTCTGTACTCTATGCGGGTGTCGCTTTGGAAGGCTTCTTTGGCTTTGCCATGAAGGGGCTTGCCTTTGGCACTTCGTCTGATTTGGGTAAGAAAAAACTGGAAAGCCAAAAATGTAGCATTTTTTCATACACATCTAAAATCAAGTTTTATTACTTACAATGTTGGATATTTGTGATCAAGCTATTAACATTCACAATCCTCATTAATCATAATCATGAAAATGCAAATTTGTAAACATCCACTTCCCACCACTAACACCACCCCACTAACACCTTCAAAAAGCTAACTTCTAATCCACTTGAAAAAACGGGTAGGGTTTGTCTTTCCCACTGAACCATCTTACATTCACCAATTGCCATATGAAACTTTGCAAATGATAAGGACAAGAACCATAAATACACAGTTTCGCATTCAAATAGGTTACAAAATCTCTTACATATGTAGTATCTAAAGAAATTAAAGCCAAAATACCAAATCTAAGTTCCAATTGCATTTTGCCCATAACGTATTGTCTAATTCATATTTCCATAGTCGAAGGGCCAAAAAAATAAAAAATTTTAAGCATAATATCATGGTTCTAATCGTGGTCATCATATCATGTTGGATCTTGAGAAGCTTTAGCACAACCAACACCACCAACAACTCTGCTTCATGCTCATCGGAGCTTGAGAAGCTTTAGCACAACCAACACCACCAACAACTCTGCTTCATGCTCATCAAAATTGAGCAGCATTTGCCCCCTCCTCCTATACTCGTGGTTGGTCAACTTCTGCCTGCCCATTGCAAGTCTTCTCCGTCAACTTTTGCCAATTGTGAGCCTTCTCCCTCAAGGATGCTGAGAACCTCTTTAACCCACTCATGCATGTTATTGATATATGCTCGGCAAATGAGTTCTGTATTTTATGCAAGAAAATTTGAGAAATAGTAAAATTACTAATAAACAGAGCCAAACACAAATACAATTCATTGAAACCTAGGGTTTCTTCTACACAACCAAGCTAGGGTTTCAAAAACCTGAGATTTTCTTTGTTTCTCAATTCTAGAAAATCACAGGGACTGCCTTCTCCTAGGCCCCCAAGCACCTCTTTGCAATATTATTTAATGTTTCGAGTACAAAAAGTGTCCAAATAAATAAATACATGGACCTATATCCTAAAACTTAAAATTCATAATGTCAGTTTTACCCATGTAAAGAGTACCCGTGAACAGTAATCGTAAACAATATTTGTAAATAGTACTCATGAAGTAAATAAAAAATATAGAAACCCTAGAATCCCTAAAAAAAAAAAAAAAAAAGAAAAAAAATAATAAAAATAAATAAAATAAAAATAAAATAGAAATAAGCCTTAAAACTAAAATTGTAATATACATCTTTTAAAATTAAATAAAAATTAAAAAATAAGAATGGTCTTATCCTCTATCATGCTCCCTTAGAAAACTCTTCATCGAGTTTTGAAGTGTATTAAGATGAATTTAGCATCACAACCATATTCTTCAACCTTCTTCTTCTTTGTTGGCTCAAATATTATTTGTGTTTAAAAGAATTCTTCAAGAAATAGATCCTGATAGGTATCTTGATAAATTAATGCAATTTATCAAACACGGCTGTCCTTGAACTTCCATTGAAAATCTTGTAGGAAACTTCAAACCCAATTTTTTGGTTTTTCAAGGTTTTCTCGGCATCTATTTAATTACTTTTTGTGCTACTCAGATTCCAATACCCTATATTTCTTGAATGCCCTACCTCATCGATATTAATGAGATCTTTAAAGGCCATGATTTGGATTAGTCCTCCTGCTGCCTTCTCCCCATATTCTTCACCCTCTTACAAAATCTCTTCATCATCATGAACCATCATAGATCAGATCCCCTAAATGATCTTGTTGTTCATTGAGGTATGTATTGAAGATTGTTGGTGAATCCAAATTTAAAACTTGAGGATTTTGAATGCAATCTGTGTTAAAATCAAGAATCTTATCCTACAAATTTAAAACCCTAGAGTGATGTTCCCCGTATCTAGGTCTTTTATTACTATGGTTTGTAATCGAAAAGGTTTGTAATCGATATCCTTATGGGCCGAAAGATCACCGTCTTGCCCATTATTGAAGTTTGCGAACTTCTGCATCGACAGTTGAACTTGCCTTTCAAATTCTGTCATCTCTAGGATCACAAAGCAGGTCTATAAAAGCCTCCTCCCGCGGTCCCTTCTTGCCACCATGGGTTCGTCGAAATCACAAACGCTAGGCAGGTGATCAACAAAAACTTGCTGAAATCGACAAGATCTACACTGATTTGGCAAAACTTGGGCCAAAATCAGCGAACACTTGATTTGGTTGTAGTTCCTTACCCTTGTTGTTGAAGAAACTCTGAGCTCTAATACCAAATTGAGGTAGAAAAAATTGAGAAAATAGTAAAATCAGCAGGAAACAAAGCCAAACAAAAGCACAATTCGAAGAAACCTAGGGTTTCTTCTCCACATTGAAGCAAGAGTTGCAAAAGCTTAAGCTTTTCTTTTTTTCTCGGTTCTAGAAAATCATGTGACTTCCTTCTCTTATGCCCTCACGCACCTCTTTATAATACTATTTAATGTTCAAAGTACAAAAAGTGTGTAAACAAATAATACATTGACCCATATATCCTCACTTAAACTTAAAATTTGTAATAACAGTTTTACTCATGTGAACAGTACCCGTGAACAATACTTGTGAATAGTACTCATAAAGTAAATAAAAAATATAAAAGCCCTAGAATCCCTAAAAAAAAAAACCCTAGAAATAAACCTTACAACTAAAACTATAATATTCATCATTTGAAATTGAATAAAAATTAAAAATGAGATAAGTTTTCCCTCCATGCGTGGTCGACCCCCTTTTTCTTTTTAATTTCCTATATTATATAATACAAACTTAGATACGTGACTACTATTGTCATCAACAGCTGGTAGCACTAATACTTTGGCTCAATATTTTAATCGCAAAGTCTTGTAACTCACAAAAGTGGTTGCCAAATTGGTATCACCATGCAACCATGAAGAAGTTTTCAAATACAAATTAAATCAACAATCAAGATCCCCTGTTTACAAGAAAGAAATAAGAGCTCATGACAATTTTGAAGCACTTAAGCTACATTCTAATATTAAAGAGTTGAAAAAGACATTAAAATAAATTATTTGAAGGAAATATAGAAATGAAAATTTATCTGGTCTTAATAAGGAGCAGCTGTATATTGCCATGGTCTAACCAAAGTCACCACTGCCATACTGTACTCTTCATATTTTTTATTTGTTTTGTCTTCGACAAGTTCATGAGGCATGAGCCTTGCAAGTAGATGAGTCAATCATGTGTTCACCTTTGATTATTTGGAGATATACCTTAAAGAAAACAGGCTGTTGTATAGTGCGATGGGGAATATGCAACCTAAGATGTCTGAAAGAAATGAAATTTACTTGGTCTTGATAAAGAGCTGTGGCATATTGCCATGGCACCATGGCAAACCAAATTCATCACTAACCATTCGTATTCTTCATATTTTTTATTGATTCTATCTTGGGCACGTTTATTAGACACAAGCCTTAAAAGTGTATGAAACAATACTGTTTTCACCTTTGATTGCTTAGAGGGAGATACCTATCTGCTACATGTACTGGGCTACGAAGCAAAGATTACCACCCATTGTGAAAAATGTAAAAATAAGGTTGATGGGAAGACCTCTTGTTCTTAAGTTTGGATTGTATCTCAATTTTGATGCTATCCAATGCCTTATACCAGTAGCCAATTGCAGGAATCTTCTTAAGGGTGTAAATTGGTCGGGTCCTAGTTGGACCTCGACTCGGCTGGGTCCTAGTTGGACCCTAATCCAACTTGGACCCGGCATAGTTCCAAGACTTGATTGGAGACCCGATCTATTCGGTAGGGTTAGGTCCAAGTCTATGTAAAAAATAAATAATTTTATTATTTATATTTTAGTTTTAATTTTTTTGTATTTTATAAAAAATAAAAACTATTTATTTTTACCTAGACTTGGACCTAACCCAACCCGATAGATGGATCACCAATATATAATAGATAATATATCAATTATAGCATATAAAAAACTATTTTGTTATGTTGAAATATATATAATATATAATATAACATATCTCCAATAGGCGATAAGGTTAGGGAGAGTAGACTAAGGGGGACTGGCTATGAACAACGTAGACCTAGTACAACACCTGTTAAGAGGGGAAATTTAGTTCAAGTGGAAGGCTCTAAAAGAGCAAGGGGAAGACCTAAAAGGACATGGATGGAAATAGTTAGCAATGATTTGGTTCAATGGCTGATTGATAAGATAAGATCAACCTTTATATCATTATTGAGAGTGTGTGAGGAAAGATATACTTTGATAAACAATGGTGACATCACGCATAGTTACCTCGACCTTTAAGACATGCTACTTGGACCACCACATAGGACGGATTTGTTAGACTAAATATTGATGGGAGCTAAATTCAAAACCTGGGATTGGCAAAGATTGGTTGGATTGTGAATGATTATGAAAGAAAAACATCAATGACCTCTTCAGGTTCGCTACCCAGTTGTGATTCAAGACAGGATGAAGCAAAACCTCTACTGTTTGGTCCTTGATGTTCACTTCAGCATTGGGGAAATAGAGGGGGTTTTTGAGGACATAATCCTTGGTGTTACCAAAAAGATTAATTACCCATGGCATATCACATGCCTTCCGTGAAATTTTTTGAAACTATTAGCGAGTTCTAGAGCTCCTTCAACTATGTATGGAGGGAGGCCATTGAGAAGGCTTACCATTGACAAAGGAGAGAATGTCCAATTCAAGTTTGGTAGTTACATTATTTTTATAGTTTTTGTTCATTTCTTGAGTTCGTTAAGAAAACAGCTAACGATTGCAGGGTGGATAAGAGCTAGGCATTTCACAATTCTTAATTACTAAAATACCCTTAAAAAATGTTTTCTTTGGGACAGCTTTGTGAAATTTTACCAGGAGAGTGGGGTAAGTATATGTCAACTTTGCTGGCTTAGACAATCAGGTATTGGCACAAACTTGATAAACTGAAGTTGCATGATGTCAGACTTTCAGGGCTAGAATCCCCAACTCTGATTATTAAGGAAGTGGTCTTTGCTTCAACGCTTGCATTTGCTTGAGGTTGTTTCAACACTAGCATTTGCTAAAGGCCAATATTAGATGACATCTTCTTCTAGCACAAGTTGTTTGTTGGATATTCTTTTCACTCTAATGTGGTCCTCCTATAACAATTGTTCTATTGCATACAATAGTCATTCATCAAGTAACTGCTAATTAGGAACAGGCTTGTGTCAAGACGGTAGAGGCTAGGTTTTCATAGCTCAACCTCTCAAGTTCCTTTCCTATGTAACCTTGTCAAAAAAAAAAGAAAAAAGTAACTGCTAATTGCAATTTGTGGAATTAAATAATGGTGCAGTGATTTATGTGAATGCACATATTTTTATTGTGCATGCAGAGTCCACTGGAAAGATATATCTGAGTATGCTACTTCTACTTTGTATTTTGATTTGTGTTCCTCCCTTTTCCCTTGGTTGTGTTAATATTAATTGGATGAAATGCTCTCTATGTATGCTGATGATACCACACCTTTTGTTTTGTTCTCTCATAACCAAAGGTTTCTATGTGCCAAAAGGATCAGACTTGGAGCGTTTGGCTCCATGAGTTAAGTAATTCCAGGTTTTCAATCAAAACCTTATTATTTCAAACCTTGGTTATGTTAAAACCTGGTTACTCTAGCATGACTTGTTTGGATGGCTTTGAATGATACCCAGGTTATGCAAATCTCATGTTTGGATCATCTTTTTGTATAACATGGTTTGCTATTAGGGTGAAAGTTCGACAGGAAAATATTTACATGAAAAGTATATATATATGCAAAGAAAAGATTAGCATACTTTTTCCCATGTTTGGCAAACACAATTGGAAACATGCACACCGAGTGCGAACGCATCAAACTTGAAATTTTGAGATAATTTCTCTCTCTAAATTTTTTGAGATAGTTTATCTCTCTAAACTTTTTGAGACAGTTTCTCTCTAAAACTTTGAAATTTCAAATAGTTGACAATTTCTGTGCAACAATGGCAAGAATCGGGGAAGCCACTTGCAAAACATGTAGAAATGCCCCAAGAAAGCAACTCACCACCAAAGTAGAGAACTTGTAAATCATCAGGGTTTGAGGGTCTCTCTCTCTCTCTCTCTGGGTGGGTGGGTGTCTGTGTGTGTGTGCACGTGCGTGTGTTTGAGGGGTTTCTTATGTTGTAGGTTGTATTTTCTGGTTGGATTGGAATATTCACCTGAAGCATCTTAAAGTTTTGTAAGATAGCCTTCTTCTAGTGTTGCTTTTGTTCGTCTACTTGAATTCCTTTATTGAGACGTATTTTCTTTGGGTGTCTTTTATTCTTTGAGTCTTTCAATTCTATGGTTGTCTTGTTCTCTTCTTGCATTTTCTTTCTGGTTTTCTCTTGGTGATTGCTTGCAGTGTAATTGGTTTCAGGGACTTTGTCAGTTTTTTAGTAATCAGTCATTCGGGTTTCATTACAATGCTCCTTCCATGAGATGTTTCGTGAAGGAGTTGCTGATAAAGTTTTCTGATCATTTTTGATCATTTGTTGTGACCTTGATAAGAAACCACACAGTCAAGGCATTGGTTTTGGACGTGTTCGATTTCATCGGTCTATGAGCATAACGAGTAATTTCAATATTTGTCTTTCAGGGTTGGGCCCTTTCTTCGACAATCGCTTCTCAATTGTTGCTTTTGGTGGTTATTTACTGCATTGCTTATGTCGTAAGTGTCTCAATCACTTCATTATTTGTCAGCATGTTGACATCAAATGTTTTTTTTTTACTTTTATTTCTTCGACATTTCAGCTTGCTCCATTCATCCTTTTTATGGGATGAAATCTTTCATCATCTAATCCTTCTCTTTCATGGGAAGATGGGGTTTCCGTTTCGATCGCTCTCTCTCTCTCTCTGTCTCTCTCTCTTTCTCTCTCTCCCTCTCTCTCTCTCTCTCTCTCTCTC